TAATAGTAGTAGTAGTAGTGGTGGTAGTAGTAGTAATAGTAGTGGTGGTAGTAGTAGTAGTAGTAGTAGTAGTAGGAGTAGTAGTAGTAGTAGTAGTAGTAGGAGTAGTAGTAGTAGTAGTAGTACAAGCTCATAGTAGTAACATGCAATAACATGCAATAACAATTGGCAATTAGATGGGGCATATTAGGGTATATCGGTATATAGGGGTACTAGAAAGTCTGTATGCTCCGAGGTTTCCTCCAGCCTCTTTAGTGTCTGAGGCCCCGTGATCGAGCACAGGCTGGAATTGATCTTTCACCATGTTGAGAGCAACACCCTGCGCATGCCAGAGGATTTAGGGGTTGGTGTTGCGAAGGACCCCAAGGAATTGAAAAAGCTCAAACCAATGTGGAAGAGCTCTTTTCTTCCGCGATTTGGGCACTCTGACCCTATACGCCATTACTCCAATGTATCCCAGTACTTCTCGACGTACCCCCTATATACCCCCCATATCATAACCAAATTGTCATTACAACTGCTATACTATTATTACCTGTTCTCCTATCACTACAACTAGTAGTAAGTAATGCTGCTACTACTGATAGCAGTACCAATCTGCATCGAGAGCCAGGCCGTTGATCCCAAGTGGACACATCGAAGGTCTTGCCCGCTGAGCGCAGCAACGCTGCCGCGAACTCAACGAACTGCAGCCAGCTCTGCAACAATTAGGGGTACCATTTTGGGTGTCCCCAAATAAGGACTATAGTATATTGGGGTGTAGATTGGGGTCCTCCTTTTTTGGAAACTACCGCATACCCACCCGGTACATAAAAGCATCATATTGGGAATACTTGTTAGGAAAGGGATCATTCTTCCCGAGCAGCGCTATCCATTTCGGCACCCATGATGTAAACCCCTCCTATATCTGCAAGCTTGAAGAAATTCATCCGCACAAACAACCTACAAGTTCACAACGGAGCGCTGGGGATGTGTTTGTTGGGATATGGAAGCCAGACTTCCCACCCTCTACATCACCCACAGTAGCCTTGAAGCCTTTGGCCATGCAAAGATTTGCCTGCATGCTGGAAACCCAAACATGCCTATCATCACAGAAAGCCCTCAGCTCACCACCACTTTCAATCCTTGAGCAGTTTAATGAACACCCTCTGCCAAGCGCCTCTGGACATCTCTGGCGTTCCTTGAGCAGTTGCTGCACGCCTTTGAACACTGCAGACTTGGATTTTTGATAACAATGGTGCCTTAGGACTAGACACTGGCGAAAATGAACAAACTGCTCAACTTGCAAAATTAGCACGGGGGGAACTGTTACAAGGTTCATGGTCCGAACCCAGAGTCTCAACTGGCAACACTTTCTCAGCCGGTACGAGTCCGCGTTGTGTCTCGCTTGATTCCTTTCTCTAGGAGGTTCTTGTTTTGATCTCAACACGGCTCCGCGTTCCACTTGCCACTAGAGGATGCTTCTTGACAGCCCCACTCGCAGCCCTCAACCCTAAGCCCTTAACCTGGAAATACCAACACCCTTGCAGCCGCCGCTTGATAAAACGCCGCATCTCTGCCGTAGCTCCCTCATGGGCATGGACACCGTAGTACGGTTTAGGGTTTAGGGCTTCATTGCTCCTATAATGATCCCTATATACACGCAGTTTTCATGTCATGTTGTGTTGGGCGATATAGGAAGCTGGACGCAGGCATGAAGGTCTCACTTCCGTGATGCAGATCCCGCGGACTAAATAACCGCTACAGTACGTTGCGGGCCCTCTTATCCCAGCAAATGGGATCTCTCTTGTAAGGACCCCCAAACAAGTTCCACAACTGTCATGAACCACAGATGGGGGCTTCTGAAAATCGCAATAGTCTCATCGCCAACATCTTTCAAGTCCTGTGTTCACAGGGCACCCAGTCCGCCTTAAGTAGATAGAATATGGGGCATATGGGGATCTTATTATACTATACCCAAAGCCATATTCTATCTACTGAAGGGGGACTATAACATCTCTCAGATTCCGACATGTGCACAGCAGGCGGGAGCGGAGTAGGCCGCGCGTAAGCAGCTCGCCAATCTTTGCATTCCGTGTAAGCAGGTTTCCGGATAAGAACAGGAGATCTGTAATGTTTGAGATTCCCAAGGCTCTAGGAAAACTCTAATGGTGGAAATATACTAAGTTATGAAGATATTCCAGTAAGTTGGATAATTTTTCAGAAGATAACTTTAACATCAGCTGTAAGACAATCTATCATTAGAAGACGTATCATCTGGGACTGGAGGCCGTGGCCCGTTCATTTGTTCATGTATCCTCCCCAAACTAACATGCAATCCCATATAAATGCCTGTCAAGAGGTTTAACGCCGTGTATGCTGGGCACAGTTTAAGGTTCCATGGAGAAGGTGAAGTAAAAACCACATGCAATACAACGTTCAATGTACTTTTGCAATGACTGCTGTAGCTTTTGGTCTCGGGTGGTTTAAGAGGCAAAAGCAAGCCAAATGCAGTTCTTGGCGAGAAGCACCTAGCCACAGTTCCTACTCACTCTGAAGGCTTGAAAGTAAGGATCTCAAATGATTGGACTGCATTTCTTGCATGGCTTGCACGACAAAAACCCCCAAGATCTATGTTGAGAACCCACCACTACTGGTGCTGGTGGATATCCACAAGCCAGGCCGATTATGGGCATCAACCTCAGCGAAGATGTACCGCACAATGACTCTGACAGACCCTGATGTGGGAGTTATATGTACAAGATAAGATACATTGAAAGAATTGCTTCCGTATGACAGGTTAAATTGGATGAGATGATTCCACCACATTTTGTCATAAGCTCCTTCCATGGTCTTTGCCGAGCACTAGATGAGAATGGAGAACATCCGCCTCAACGGTCGAGGACCAAGCAACGTAGTCCTATTGGTTCGGACTCGCGCTGCCAAGGCCCTGCATCCTCCTATGCCGGAAACCTCTTATCTCCAGAAGATCTTGTAGCCGCACATAAGCTGTGCCAGAATTTCAAGATCTCGCCCCAGGAAATCGGATACCCTACAACATAACATCCCCCAAACCTGAAACAAGGGCCCGGGCCCACTTCACCGTGCCCAGGCAGCGATGCTTCCTCCGAATCCGGGCCTCCTCTGGGTCCTTAGCCAGTTTGGGCAAGAAGTGGGGTTTGTAGGGATCATTTTGAAGGTGGCCAGAAGAAGGTTCAAGGTGCATATATATTAGGGTTTTATAGGGAAAATGCAAAAGAAAATGGAGACTACTGTAGTATATTGGGGTTCTATGGGTTCACATTAGGCGAAAGAGAAACCAAGTTCTATGGGCAATGGACAGAAGAGGGCCTCCGGGGCATGGTTGGCGCCTTAGGAAATGCAGGGGGGGGCAGCGGGCTAAGGTTTAAGGGTCTTGGGCTTGAGCGTTTGAAGTGTAAGTGTTCTGATGCTGCAGAAGTTGGATGATTTATTAACACTAAAGAGAACAGAAGACATTCTCAAAGGGCAGGTCACGGAGTGGATGGGTCTCTCAGCGTTCATGCGAAACAGAAATTGCTTGAGTGTCAAAGGTAGCAAGGACCCTTAAGAGTCCTCCTATCTCAACGCGAAGGCTGGAAGAGAAAGCATCCATCCCAAGCCACCATCCCTGCAGATCTTTTTTACCCGTGCAGCTGCACGCCCTGCGGTGCATAGTGATTATCAACATCAAACATGGCATGTGTCAGCCCAGCGCTTGATTAGACAATTGTATGTTTTAAGCAAGTGTCGAGGCTAGATAGACCCTATATTATATAGCCCTTCTATGAACCCTAAGTGTACCACTGGAACTCATTTCAAAGCATAGGCTGCATGGCCGTGGGCAAGGAGCTTCGTTCCCTACGCACAGTGGCATGCCATCACTCAGCGCATTCAGCGCCTACTCTACGCTCCCTACCCTCCTGCTCCTGATGCCACTTCACCCTTCACGCAGACGTAGATGTAGTGGACGCTGTCCTAAGTGTCCAGCTCTGGAAGGAGTTGCTCTCAAACATGATGCCCTAAGTGGTAGTACACTTTTTGTATGTTTTTGAGGTGCCATGACACGAACAGACTCAATCCATTGTGCGCCACTGCTCCAGGAGGTCAAAAATGACTTCTTGTAGCCACTTTGCAACAGGGCGCGGGACCGGATTTCATCGACATGACGCAGGACAGTCTGAAGCAAGGGATACCGAAGTTCGATGGGCAGACATTGGCGGGAAGAGCTCTTTGGGTCCCCTTTTATTCCAGGGCAGACCTTCCCAGCAAAAAAAAACTAAAGAGGAGTTTCCATTTTCTTTTCCATTATACTTATACAATCACAATATAAATACCCTATAATCCCTGTATGGGTTGTTGTCAGAGTTATGGTCCCTTTTTGGATCCCCATTATAGTACGGAACCTAATACTTAGGGCACCCAAAAGGGAACCATAATTTTGACAACCACCCATATACCCCTACATAATCCAACTACAACTTCCAGGCTCCACGTAGGCTGAAATGCAGGCAAAGGTCTTTGTCGTCCGCGGAAAGAGAGGCCGTCATACCTTGACTAGGGCCGCTATATAGGGGTTAAGGGATTATATTGGGTTCTATAGGGGTTATATAAGGATTATATTGGGAGATAATGGACAATAGAATGGAGACTACTATTTAGGGTTTATAGGGTTTGGGGCTTATATTCCGCCTCAAGTAGAGAGAATATGGCTTTGGGTATACTTTAATAAGATCCCCATGTACCCCATATTCTATCTACTTAACCCTATATCTTAAGGGGGACTATAGCTCTGGCGTCTCAGAATGCAAGTCTTCCCCGCATTGCACGCGCATCACGGTCCGTTCATTTACTCCTGCAACATCCGATATAATGCAGGGGCTTCAATAAGTACAATCTAGTTGCCGTTCTCTAAACCACTACTTGTATTATACAAGAATCTACATCCATAATATTGTTAGTTCTTTCATAAATTTCTCCATATCAAACCCGGCAGAAGCTCCCTGTTGCAAAGCTGGCAGCCCATCATCGGCTTCTGCACCGTGTAGGTCTTGACGTTCCAGCCGAACTCCTGCAGGAATTGCTGTTACGGTTATGGTAATATATAGTAGTTTCCATTTTCTTTTCCATTGTCCTAATGTAACCCCTATATAACCCATATAATGGTCTTGAGGCACGACATGAAGGTGCCGAGGGCTCGGAGTAAGGATGCAACGTGACAGGACTCCACGCTTTTCTGATGGCTGCAGTCATATTGGCAGTAGCATGGCCATCGCTGATTGCGGCGGTGCTTCATTACGACGAACTAGCCTACAAAGTCCCTGCTAGGGAATGGATAGGAAACGTTAGTGACCCGAGGAAGAGCAAGTTGGGCTCCATGGAGATGAGAGATGCAATGATGCAAGACTGTTTTGTTTTGGCCAGGTATGGAAGCGTCACACGTTCAGTCAAGGCTGTGGGAGTTACATCCTCTGAAGCAATCCGACCTGATTAATTGTGGTTCATGAAGGCTATACACAGCGATCCTACACGTCCTCGATCTTGTCCAGATGCGCTCTCTCTCTTCAGTACGAGCTGATACACTAAACTTCGGTTCCAATATAGGCATCGGGCAAATGATCTGTTTGCAGCCCAGCTTCCGGGCGCTGTAAGTATGTCAATCTGTACCTGAGCGCTTCGGACACGAATGTTTTGACCTTGGGACCTGCTAATGATTGTTAGCAAAATTACTATGATTGGTGCTGGTAAGGCTTCTATCTCGGATGTTTCATGGGATGCTTTACGACCCCCAGCTGTATGCACATTAGGCCCAAAAAAGACGGCTCTAAAATGCACCTTATGGGCCTTGCTACCAGAAATCCCTCTTTGAGCCCACTTCTGGTAATTTCCTTAAACAAGGGGGACCGCAATATGGACACCAAAATAGTGTAATCCTGATCATGGGGACCCCCAAAAATGGTACCCCTAATTCTCGGACACCTCATTTAAAAAAAAAACACTTCACGCCCCTTCTTGAGGCCGTATGCGATGGCTGGCCGTGAGAGACGGCAATGTAGACTCCATTCGGCTGCAAAACACGCGAAACCTGGGGCGGTCGGCCCGTACAGTAGCTGTCCCTAATCGCGGTTGTATTAGGAGGCAATTCGAAATATTATAACTACTCCTATTACCTAAGTTGTATGCCCTTGCATATCCCTCCACGTCAGGCGGGGATAAAATAAAAAGAAACCTCAGCAACAACAGATGGGAGTTTACAGTTCAAATAAGTACAATTGAGCGGGGATCAAGACCTTGATTCTTTTCTTTCATGGTAGGCAGTTAGCTTGCGGAGCTTACGAAACGCAGGGTTAAGCTTAGTGGCACTTTTAAGGGAACGAGCTTACGGCGCCTACGGTGGAAACGTGGGAATAACAATGGGTTCTCGTTTCAAAACTGACACTTCTGCTTAAAACAAAGCCCGTCAGCACCTTGCAACCTTCATTCCCTGAGCACTCCAAGTATATGCCCTGCCCCAGAGTCTTACTTACCGCAACATCCACATAGGCACTCGCATATGGTTTCCTTTTCGGGAGGTTTGAGCTCTGCTCAATTGGGGAATGCATGGAGCATTCTAAGATGTCATGCAGCACTCACAATATCATGGTAGCTAAAATACTCATGCGAGTTATTGCTCATATCGCTATGTGTAGAGGTACCTTCTAATTACCGTACCAAGGTAGAGAAAACCGTGCTGTCCCCAGGCGGAAGGCCTCCGTCAATAGCTTCTGAGCGTTGTGTGTGGATCCTTCGCCGCACAATATGGAGTCCAAGCAAGCCTTCCAGGGAGAGGGCTGGAGGATTTTCGCTTTCAGTGTGGCAACTTCTCCAAACAAAACACAGGTTCTGAGACATTATGCTTTCGCGCGCTGCGCATGCAAGAGGTGATCAATATGGCTTTGGATCAAGAATCCATTTTGTCGCCAGCCTCGCGCCACTCCTTGTTACATACCCTTTGTCGCGGCCTGGTGTGTCATACCTTTGTCACCAAAGCTTCGTATGCACATGCCCGACAACAAACCTTTGACCTTGTCGCAAGTCAGGTAATTCTCAAGCCTATGCTGTGGAATGGGGCTGCCGAAGCCTGTTACAAACCCCTGCTTTGGGACAGGAAGTACTACAAGATCCTGCATTACGCTATACACCTACACCCTAGGAAGTCGCATGGCACACTCAGTGCATGAGGGTCTCTGGAATCAGCGAGCGTGTGCACAAAATGTGGCCCCCTAACAGTTAAAAGCTCTTCAACTTACATACACACTAGCCCAAACTGCCTCCCAAAAAACACGTCTGGCAGTTCGACACATACAGTCCCCCTTAAGTAGATAGAATATGGCTTTGCCCACCCCCCAGGCACATCCTACAAAGGGCCTTGTCGATCACAATGTTGAAGTTTGCATCCGGAAGTTCCATCGAGCGTCCGTCCATCTGCTTATAGGTCATGCCTGGTTTAGGGTTTAGGGATATAGGGGTTATATGGAGTTTGTATTGGGGTTACGTACTGTAGGGGTGATATAGAATGGGAAATAAAAGGGCAACTGCTACGTGGGGTTTCGGGTTTAGGGTTACCGGGGATGAAGCTGCTATATAGGAATCATGGAGGAGATGGAAGTTACTAGTTAGGGTTTAGGGACTATGTAGGGACTATGTAGGGGATACATGGGAGCATGTCGCGAGAATGGAAGACAAATTGGAAACTACGATTTAGCGTTTAAGGATTTAGCCTCAGGCATTGGGGTTGCTGCGGGTTAGCAGTCAACGTGGGAATAGATCCCTACAGCACGCTTCATAGAATCCCCCACTGTTATTATGTGGTCCCTATATCCGACACGTTCATTCCGTATCAGAAACCAGTAAGCGTTGACTGTGAATCTGAGCAGTTCTTTTTCCGGTACGTGGCATCGGCCATGTCTAGATCACCTGAACCTGCAACTTGGGGTCTGTAGAGACAAGAGACTTCTGAGTGAGCGCAGGACAGCAACATGAACCACCACTCACTGTATCAACGCGAAATTTCAGCCAATCGGTCTACTGCGACTGTAAACTGGAAGCATTAAACATTTGCCAACAATGGGGATGGCTTGCGTGTACAAAGGCGCTGCACTGGCCAGTAAATACTGCCAAGAGCACGGACTGCAGCACTCCGAAGTTAAAGATCCTATGACCCCTACAGTAGTTTCCATTTTGTGTTCCATTGTCTACTATACCCTGAAAGCGCTATTCTCCTTCTAAAGCCCATGCCATGCCGAGGTTTGAGCCACATGCTACTTTAAACCCTAAACCCCAACAGGGCCCTAAAACTGGGCCTAAAACCTAAACTTCGACTGGGCCCTAAAACCCGAAACCCCAACAGGGCCCTAAAACCCGAAACCACAAAAAATTGGGCCCTAAAACCAAAAACCCTGACAAAACTGGGCAAGTGGCCAGGCTTGTCACGATACTTCTCCTGCATCGCTTTGATGACGGTCAAGCACAAGTCGATGTTGGTGATACTGTGGAAGCCTTCCTCATACATCTCCTGCCAGGCCACACTTACTTGCGGCTCCTTATGGAGTGGAGGCATGTGTCCCTAGTAGTGGCACCTATAACTCCTTACAGTCCTTCCTGTATCCTACTCCTTAACACCCTACAAAACACCAGTACAAAACATCAGCAAGCGTGAACGTTTGGTTTGACGGCCCCGATGAACGAGGAAATCACAGCTAGACTAGACTTACAGTAGCTCCCCCCAAACTGCACGGCAAACATTCCAGTACTGCAAGCCAACATTTCTCACAGCGGCGCCTGCGAAGCCATCCCATCACCCCCCCCCCCTTGAAGTCAACATATAAAATGGAACGCAAGGCATACAGTAAACATGCAAGCAGACCAACAAGTCAGGGAGGCACTTTGCAACCGCTTTTTTTGATGTGAGCTCGCCAATCGCTCACACAACACGCCAGCAACCATAGGCCCTAGCATACAGAAACGTTGGAAGGGTTCTGGCCATACAAGGTTGCTGC